TTTGACCTGTTCTGTTTTTTACGAATCAACAACTCATATTTATTTTAAATGTGAATATATGAAAATCATAATGTGAAAATTAAACAATCACGTCTAGTTACTTATTTTGTTGGATACGTTTGGTGTAATATGTTTTTCATGATTCGTGAACTTCACGAAATTGAATTTAACTCAGTGCGGCAGTCACGAGGCTTGCTACCAACAACTTAGGATCAAAACATTGACATTTCTACTGTAACACGTCAATTGCATATGGCTCCAGTCCTATTTAGTTCACAGCTAAGGTTTGCCAAGATGTCGTTGAAACAAAACGGTGGCTTCCTTTCCTCATGTACATCGCTGTATCGCACGTGTCACAAATATAAATCAAAACCCGTTTACCCCTCAGAGCACGTAAGCAAGGAAGTAATGAAGTACGAGACACTCTTACTTAAGAACTGTACGAACAGTGAATCTCATATTCAGAGTTGGAATGATAAGGTAATATGTTTCTTTCGGTCTAACCTAAAATCATTTGGGCTTGAGATTATGTTAGTACGACGAAACTGTTTTCGCTTTGAAACAGAGGAAAAGTTGAAAACTGATGTTTATCTCAAGAAACTATATCGTCACTTTGATGAACGCCACGCACATCTCATTGGACAATGACGACATAGTCCGAGTTCAAAGTCCAATCAATTGGGCAATTGTCCTCTTGAGACTTAAAATCTGAAATATCTACTTCGCACTTTGGAAAATCGACCCGAAGATTATCGGTCATCATATGCGATCATCTCGGACATGATGGAAATGGACTCACGTACACAACGAGATGAACAAAACTTCTGTTTGCCGAGCGAGAGTGATTGCGAGACTTTTGATGAGAAAGGATTTTTTAAGATTCCATCAAATAAACTCGTTTCCGCAAGAAAGATTTTGCCACAAGAATCATTTGGAAAGGAAAGGGTCTTAGAACTTCGAATTGGTCTATGAAAATGTTTATGGTGGTTGGGAGGGTGTATTTCAATCGTCTAAACTACATGAATGGATTAACTTTTAAAATCATTTTAACTTCAAAGACAACCCGCTTAGTGAACAAATAAACAATACTACTTTTGTTTTTGCTTTGACCTGTTCTGTTTTGTTAAGTTTTCTATTTTTTTCGACTGGGTGTTCTTCGTTTTTCATGGACTTTGCTCGTCGTTCATACTATCATAACCAAACAATTCTTCCATAAATATCACGAGACACCTTATTTGCAAAACAAAGAGGAAGAAAAAGAGCTCACGTAGAAAATTACCATTTTATGAAATGAGTCACCAGTGTTTCATCGTGTTCTAAATGCGTCCACTCCCGAGAGACTGCCCGTTTAATTACCCTTTAAAAAATTACATTCCACATTCAATTCTCTCATTTGACTTCACGGCCTCGACTCTCTCTTTGAAGTCGTTTGCTCGCTGCCACTGAATAAAGCAAAATGAGCTTTGCCAGCGCAACTGAGTTTCTAGAGGTCAAGAAGACTTTAGCCATGTTACAAGGGAACATAGATCAGCAATTTTTGCTTTTAATGGGATGCCTCATCTTTTGTAAGTTCTCGAAAATTGTCTAATAATGGAGGTGTTTACATGGACCTCCACAGTCACTGTGATTTAATACATGATATTTTATTTCATTCCATATTTGTGATAGGTATTGTGAAAACAACTTACATTTCTCATTGCAGTTTTTCAGTCCCCTGTTCAAACTCACCAGTTGCAATTCTATCGGGTCAAACATTTTCACAAACTAACGCAGAAACGAGCGCATCTATTCATTTAATAAACTAGTCATGCACAATAACATTGGGACATAGAAGAGAATTATCCAGTGATTCCTATTTCCTATATGTTTTCTGCGGAAACAGCTTCAAGCATCCAATCCGCGCTTGGTAGAGAAAATACCAAATGACGTTGCTAACAACAAGAAAGGAGCTCGGATTAAAACACTCAAGTGTGGGTGTTTTACTTGAAGCTACTTTAACCTCAAAACCTGTATCATTTCTGCGACTTTTGCTGACTTATAATGTTTTTTTTTTTGCGAGCAATGCGCCTAAACGAACTAGCAATGCAATTTTGTTTGGAAATAATTACAGAATGCAGAGCCACAAAGGTCTCTCTTGCCGGTATGCTTTGACAAGTCTAAGAATAACAAAGGAATAATAATAAAAGGAATATGTGGTCCTGTATTATGTAGTTATTAATTTTTGGTATAAAATATTCAGGTTACTGAATTCATGTCAATATTTTGCAGTTATGCAGGCAGGATTTGCTTTCCTCGAGGCCGGATCAGTGCGATCGAAGAACACGACGAACATCCTAATAAAGAATTTCTTGGATGTGTGTAAGTATGGATTACACAAAGCCTCCCGTAAAAGAGTGAAAGTAATGATTTATAAGCATTAGTATTTGTGCCCTCTACGTCTAATTAGCAATTGCGAATCATTTGATTGTCTTTGAAACCGTGATGGATGAATTTTCAGTTCTATAGGCAGACAGCCAAGTCCTTAGCTTTCTCTCTATGTAAGGGTAAGTTTCTCTCGATCAAGTCGAGGTTTTCAAGGGGGCCAAGTTACACTAAGTTATAGAGTTTCCTCTTGCCTGTGTCTTACCAGAGACCGAAAATGCAGTCGAAAGAAAACAGTCAATTCTGTTGTTGGAAAAAAGCTGAAAGCACATAGTTTTAATTTATGCCATTTCATATCCTTGCCAATGCTCGCGGAACTGGGTAGTATTGTGATTATTTTTTCAGTTGAGGCGTTGTAATCAAAACTCCGACTTGCACCCTCTAACTCTGGTGTTTTCTCACACAGTTATCGGTGCAGTGGCTTACTGGCTGTTCGGTTACGCGTTTGCGTTTGGTGCGGAAAGCAATGGCTTTATTGGACACAAGTATTTCGCGCTGGCAGATTTACCAGCTGACAAATACTCTAATTGGTTTTTCCATTTCGTTTTCGCCGCCACAGCAGCAACGATTGTCAGCGGTGCCATGGCGGAAAGGACGGAGTTTAAGGCGTATCTCGTCTACTCCGTATTTTTGACCGGTAAAGTAAACATCGCTTTATATTGAACTGTTCTATGGCATTAGCGCATATGAAAATAAACAGATAAAAAAACTATACCGGCCATGTAATCTCCACTACACAATTTTCGTCCACAAAAGACAGCAACAAACACTTTTATCCCCTTCATTTATTTATTTTTTATTTTTTGAAACTGAGAAGTACAAATAGGAAGACCTCAGAAACAAGATAATACAAAGAAGAGGTTTCGAGGCAAGTTAAATACACACGGCCACCTTGTTTTCCTCTTTGACAGCCTGTCGCTTTGTTGCGGGTTCTGTTGGTTGATGGAGCTCACGCCCTACTTTCAGGGCTTTGTATGCAAAAGTATGCACGCAAAAGAGTGCGCAGCGCAATACAAAGGAATCACTTCATGTAAGGAG